GATTTTTAAAAGAAAAATGAAAGATGATGGCACTATTGATAAATTTAAGGCAAGACTTGTTGTCAAAGGGTATAGACAACGAGAAAGTCTTGACTACTTTGATACATATTCTCCAGTAACGAGAATTACATCCATACGAATGCTAGTAGCTTTAGCTGCAGTTTATGGTCTTGAAATTCATCAAATGGACGTAAAGACAGCCTTCTTAAATGGAGATTTGGAGGAAGAAATCTACATGGAACAACCTGAAGGGTTTGTGGTTCCAGGTAAAGAAAAGAAGGTATGTAGACTTGTAAAGTCCCTCTACGGACTAAAATAAGCACCCAAACAATGGCATGCGAAATTTGACCAAACAATATTGTCAAATGATTTTAAGATAAATAAATGTGATAAATGTGGGTACATTAAAAATGTTCCAAATCACATAGTCATTGTTTGCCTATATGTGGATGATATGCTGATAATGAGTAATGACATTGCCAACATAAATGCGACTAAGCGTATGCTAACTAGCAAGTTTGATATGAAGGACTTGGGAGTTGCAGATTTAATTCAGCGGATTAAGATCCAAAAGACTCCTCAAGGTCTGGCATTGCCACAATCTCATTATATTAAGACAGTACATGAAAAATTCAAGCACTTAGAGTTTAAAGTTGCAAAGACTCCAATTGACGTGAATCTTGCATTAGCAAAGAACAAAGGCCAAAGCATATCACAATTGGATTATGCTCGTGTGTTGGGATGCTTCATGTACATCATGAATTGTACACGACCAGATATAGCTTGTGCTATAAGTAAACTAAGTCGATACATGAGCAATCCAGGTCAATCTTATTGGATGGCAATGAAACGAGTTTTGGAATATTTAGAACATACCCAAAACTTTGATTTGCACTACAGTAAATATCCTGCGGTGATTGAAGGATATTGTGATACAAATTGGATCACCGGTTCAACTGATTTGAAGTCCACAAGTGGATATGTATTCACTATTGGTGGAGGAGCGGTATCTTGAAAGTCGTCCAAACAAACTTGTATTGCCCGCTCTATGTTGGAGGCTGAGTTCATAGCCTTAGATAAAGCTGGTGAAGAAGCTGAATGGCTCCAGAATTTCTTGGAAGACATTCCATATTGGCCCAAACTGTTGGCATCAATATGCATACATTGCGATAGCCAAGCGGCAATTGGAAGGGCTGGGAGCGTTATGTATAATGGTAAATCTTGTCATATACGACGAAGACATAAAACCGTTAGGCAACTACTTNAAGTGTTAGCCGCTTCAAGGAGAATTTTGCAAGGCCAATTCTCGACGCACTTATGAAACCAGGCGGTGTTCATGGCTGAAATGAACACAATAATGAGAATCAAAGACGGTTAAGGGTTGATTGTATGACTTATGGTTGTCTAGGTATACACTAAAGTTCGACGGTTCAAAGATATCAAATCTACCAATTGATCGAGTATATCCGACATAAGTTCACTACGGAAAGTTCAAAGGGAAATCTACTTATCCAGATGCAATTAATCCTTGCTTGCAAATCACACAAGTTTTTCATGCATGCTTCCGTGATATAGCCATTCCCCATTTATATGGGTGATTGTTGAGTCTCTTTTTAAGATGAAAAAGTCTTAAAAAGAGGGTGAATGAGAAATTGAGGGAAAATAAAAATTTTGAGTTTCCCTCTCTTGACAATGAGACATTGTCCCATATTGGAAGAGGAAAAGGCTTTTGGTGGGTATATGTACAATTGCTTTTCTTGTAGCTCTTAAAGAGTTAAGAAGAAGGCAAGCCTCGTGCCGTCGTCGTCGTCGCTCGCTCGGCTCGGCTACGGCTTTGGATTTGGATTTGGTCAAATGATCGATTGATTGATTAATTTTTTGGACCAAATTTATTTGTTAATCGTGATATTAACGTAATATTATCCATGTTTGTAACAGATGTTTTCAAATCCGTGAATAGAATCCAAGTGTTCCAGCACCCAAGTGCTTCTCCCACCATGGCCAAGTGCTTGCTCCATAACACCAAGTGCTCCAAGTGATTGCTCCAATAGCAGCCTAGTGCATGCTTCACCATGGACAAATGAATGGCATTTCATCAGCTGGTTGCACTATAAATATGTGCAACAACTTGTTGAAAATATAGAACACGGACAGAAACGGAATTGAGAGCAATCTGCCTGTTGTTGATCTCTTCTTCAGTTAAAATTCAACGTTGGCTATAAATTGCAGTCCTTCCTCTCAAAATTTCCATTCGACTTCCGAGTTCTCCTCTTTTGTTCTGCATTGTTTTAAACTACAAACAAAGCAATCGTAAGTGTGATTTGCTACCAAACTTTATGTTTGCTGAAACACTGGGGTTTGAAGTACCGCTACATCAGTGTGTGATTCGTTCTATCCTGGGAGAAATAATCCATAACCTTGGGTACTAGGAGGGGATTAAATTTCTTAAGGAAACACTATGAATTCAGTGGGCTCGAATTAATTACTGTTTTGTTTATATTTACGTTTATATGCTAACTGTCTTTTCTCCAGAATTATTATTTACAAATACAGCAAGTAAGAAGATACAACCAACAATTTATACATATTAAATAGATTTATTAAGACAAATACAAAGTTTGGACCTAAGTTACTAGATTCGGCCGAACCCGCACCTTGATCTCTAGCTCCGCCCGTGCTGCACACTGTATCCATTTAGCTTGAATAATCCAACTTTCCTTTTTTGACACATTGTATCCTCTGTGCAGATAGCAGCAGAAGGAGATACATAGTTGAAGAAATAGAAAAATATGGAAAAGGAAACATTTCAGCTCAGACATTCACATTCAATGACTTAGCTCTTGCCACTAAAAACTTCGATTCTGAATGTTTGCTTGGTGAAGGTGGTTTTGGAAAAGTATACAAGGGCCACATTGAAAGAAAGAATATAGTACTACTCTTCCCACATTTTCTTTAATGTATGTGTCCAACATTATACTATTCATGTTGTTTAGTTATTCATTGTTCATCTTTTTGTATTTTTTAGGATGTTGCTGTAAAGCAACTTGATAGGAATGGCTTCCAAGGAAATAGAGAGTTCCTTGTGGAGGTTCTGTTGTTGAGCCTTCTTCATCACCCTAACCTTGTTACTTTGGAAGGATTCTGCTCTGACGGCGACCAGCGAATATTAGTCTATGAATTCATGTCAAATGGTTCACTAGAAGATCACCTTCTTGGTATGCATTCTTATCCAACAAATTTTAACCTTCAATGATAACTTAAGATATACATATCCATCAACTAATTTAAGTAAAGTTAAAGACACCTACACCTTTTGCATCTTTAATTTAATGTTACTTATAATATATACATACCTGGTTTGGCAGAGCTTACTCCAGAAAAAAGGCCACTTGATTGGATTACAAGGATGAGAATTGCGGAAGGAGCAGCCAGAGGACTTGAATACTTGCACGAAACAGCTAATCCTTCAGTAATTTACCGCGATTTTAAAGCATCCAATATACTTTTAGATGAGAACTTCAATCCCAAGCTTTCTGATTTTGGACTAGCCAAGTTAGGTCCGACTGGTGAGAAGACTCATGTTTCCACCAGGGTTATGGGAACATATGGTTATTGTGCACCTGAGTATGCTTCCACAGGTCAATTGACAACAAAGTCTGATGTTTACAGCTTTGGAGTTGTCTTTTTGGAAATAATCACAGGAAGAAGAGTTATTGACAGCTCTAGGCCGAGTGAAGAACAGAACCTTGTCGTCTGGGTAAGTTACAAGAATTCAATGTCATTAAACAAGAAATGTGTGCTATCCAATTTTAAATTTATTGTAAGGTTAATGTCATCTTGAGATGGTTTTAGTCGTGTCCTACATCAACCTCTAGATGCACCTTTCTGTAGGTGTAAAATCGTGATGAATGAAAGTGTTAAGAGGGGACGAGATAGACCTAAACATCACATGAAAGAAAGTTGACTAGAAAGACTAACAACTTCTTAGTGATAAGTATGACACAGTAGAAAAAGATCTATATAGGTGATATTAATTAGAGTAGTTGGGATTAAGTTTTAGTCATGTTAGTATATTTACTTTTATGTTCAGTGCTTTCGAGGAATCTTTAGTCCTGCCAATGATTTTTGAGCCAGTAGAAAATATAAAAAATTCTAATGGAGTACTGTCTTATTTTCATTTATATAATATTGAACATGAGGTTAAACGGAGTGACATGGACAGTAGGAATCGCATAACTGATTGATCCAATTCTTACTTGCTTGTAATTGAAGTGTAGTTGTTGTAGTTGTCTATGTTCTGTTATCTCATTTTAACAAAATCACTGGGCAGGCAATACCACTATTCAGAGACAAGAAGAAGTTTCACTTAATGGCAGATCCATTGCTAGGAGGGGATTATCCAATGAAGGCAATGTACCAAGCTCTAGCAATTGCAGCAATGTGCCTGCAAGAGGAAGCCAGTACGCGGCCTCTGATGAGCGACGTGGTAACTGCTTTGGAGTTTCTATCCGGTAACAAGACAGATTTAGAAGCAGAGGGGGGAGAAGAAGAGGTTGCAGAAGATGATCACACATTCAAATCCCCACCTGCATTGCAAAGTTTTACGAGTAGACTTGAACGTGCTGAGAGTAATGATACCAATGCCAATAGGGAAAGAGACTAGTACCTTCTGTGTATATCCAAAAACAACTTTTTCTTGCTAAGTCTTTTTTTGCAGATTTTGTATATTATTGGAGGGCTCCCACCTGCAGTATAAAGCTTTAAATGTCGAAATTACTGAAAGAATGAAGCCAATGGTGTTAGAGACTAAAACCTTCTGTGAATATATAAAACTTTTTTCTTGCTAAGTTTCTTAGATTTTCTGTATTATATAGTCCCTACCTGCACTGCAAAGCGTTACAAGTAATGTTGAAAGTACAGAAAGCTATAGATGTAGCAAAAGGTGTTAGATTGCCTAGATGGGGTGGAAATCTGTAACCACCCAACCGTTTGTTTTGCTTTCTAGAACCCCGTTTTCCTAAATAAGGCTTCCCATACGCGCTTTTACTGTTTTATGACTTGGAAAGATGGTTAGTTCGGGATTTGGAAGGGTTCGGGTTGAAATCGGAACACTTGGTTCCTTAAGTTGGCCTTAAAAGGCTAAGTTTGATTTCGGTCAATATTTTGAGTAAATGACCTCGAAATCCGGTTTTGACAGTTCTAATAGGTACATATGATGATTTTAGACTTAGGCATATGTTCGGATAGGATTTTGGATGATCCAGGAGCGTTTTGGCGCCTAATAGTGAAAGTTGGTTCTTTGAAGGTTTTAAAAGTTCTTTAAATTTGGTTTGGAGCGAGTTTTGGTGATATCATGGTCCAAATGGGATTTCGAGACCAGAAATAGTTCTGTAATGTTATTTAAGACTTGCACGCAAAATTTGGTGTCATTCCGAGTAGTTTAAGTACATTTCGGCGCATTAAGAGTAAATTGAAGAACTTAAAGTTCATATTTTGGTTCAATTGGTTTGGGGTGTGATTCTTAATTTTAATGTTGTTCGGTGCGTACTGAGAGTTCGAGCGAGTTTGTTTTATGATTCTACACTTGTTGGTATGTTCAGGCGAGCCTGAGGGGACCCAAGTGCTAATCGGACGAGGCTCGGACCAAGTTAGAACTTGGGAGCAATAGCTGAAGCTCCCAGCTGCTATCATAATCACACATGCGCTTGGCCAGCCGCAAGTACGAGCCCGCAGGTTCAAAGGCTTGGCCTTAGAATCGGTTCTGGAGCATTTGGCTGGGGACCGCAGGTGCAGAGTTTTGTGCGCACTCGCGAACGCACAGGTGCGAAGGGGAAGGGCACAGGTGCGGACCTAGGCGCAGAGGCGGCACGCTCACCGCAGAAGCGGCGCACATTGGGCTTGAAGACCTCCGCAGAAGCGGACCAAGCACCGCAAATGCGGCCAATGCACCGCAGGTGCGAAAATCGCTGGGCAGAAGGGTTCATTTAATACGGGACTTAAGCCATTGCTAACCCATTTCTCTCACTCTTTGGGCGATATTTGGAGCTTCTTGAGAGGGATTTTCACCTAGCACATTTAGGTAAGTGATTTCTATCAATTATGAGTTAATACATAGTGTTATGGTAGATTATACCATGTAAATTAGTGAAAATTATGGGTTTAGGTGAAAACCTAGGTTTTTGATAGAAATAAGATTTAACCACGAAATTTATTATGGAATTTAGTAAAAATCATATATTTGAGTTCATGAGGTTATGGGTAACAACTTTCTTCGAAAATTTCTAGAATCCAGGCGCGTGGGCCCCAGGCTGAATTTTAGGGATTCTTCAAATAGGCTTGGGAAATCACTTTGATAGTTAGGATATGGACTTTTAAACATGTATTAATTATTTTATATAATGTTTGACTAGTTTCGAGTCATTTGGCACCGAATTGGGGGTTTGAGCATAATCTTGGACCGAAAAGTGGGCTTTGAGGCGAAGTAAATCTCTTTTCTAATCTTGTAAAAGGGAATTGACCCCATAGGTGAAGTAAATTAATATGTGCTGCTATTTGTGTGGACTACATACGCACGAGATGACAAGGGTCCGTACGTAGCTACTATTTAAGTTTATGACCAGGTAGTTGTAGGTTTATACCATACTTTGTGGATATTGTTATTTGATTATATGTGTTAATTATATTGAATGGGGTTAAGTTGAGGATCTTAACATTTCAAAATTTTCAAGTTGAATTTCTTTATTTTGGAAAGAATTGAGGGATATTATGGTAACTTGAGAAATTTATATTCAACCACGTCGCAAGTATCTTCCGTAAGCAGGGTAACTTTTTTCACTACTCTCATGGGAGCGGGCTGTTCGCCTTGGCAGGTTAATAGATGCATCTATGGTTCGTGTCGTTCGACCCTCGGCAGTGCACACAGTTATGCATATGTATATTTGGATCGGGCCGTATGTCCTCGGCATAATTCGTGCATGATACTAATATTTGGAAGTCCCTTTGTATTTGATATTTACTTACTCGCTTGAGAAATTTCATGTTTAAATTAGGGAAATGACTCGGTTCTTACTCGCACTGAAAGGATTGTTTATTTATTTCTTACTCTGAGTTCTATTGTCATTTATATCCATCATGTTTAATTAGAATTTTATATTATTATATTGTTGGCCCATAGTAAGTATCAAATTCGATCCCTCGTCACTACTTCTTCGAGATTAGACTAGATACTTACCGTGTACATGTTGTTTATGTACTCACACTACACTTCTGCACTTAAATGTGCATGATCTGAGGCAGGTGCATCTGGATATTAGTCTGGTGTGCACACTTGATTTTCACTTCAAGACTTCACGGTGAGCTGCCCTCCGAGCCGTTCTGCAGCAGCTGGAGTCTTTCTTTTGTTATATTTTTCTGTCTATTTCACTTCAAACAGTAGACTCGTATTCTTTTGTATATTCTACTAGAATGCTCATACACTTGTGACATCAGGTCTTTGCCCACACACTAGTAGACTTGTGGTTTTGGGTTTTATCCTATGATTATGATTGCACTCAGTTGTTATCGTGTTGTTTATTTTAAATCCATTATTTCTCAAATCTTTTAATTTAAGAAAAGTTTAATTACTTTGAAGAATTTGTTATAAAGAGGAAATCACGTGGCTAGTTCACAGTTGGCTTGCCTAACGGCGACGCTAGGCATTATCACGACCTATTATAGAATTGGGTCGTGCCAAAATCAACCTTAAAGGAATTAGAAAAAGAGACAAATCTGAAGTCTTGCCCAGATGGAGTGGAAATCAACCTTTTTCTCAAAATCTTATAACAAACGAAGTTGTTAGTTTTTTTCGGCCACTTCAGCTAATTTCAAATTCAACGGCTATTATATCCTCGGTGGTATACTAATAAGGTACACTTTACAGGACCGACCTCCGTTAGTTTCACAATCCAAAAATTCAACAAGTCGTGATGGTACCTAACTCAACCCATTAGGTAAGCCAATTAACAATAATCTAATTTAAAATAAGATTTACTCAGAAAATAAATGATGAAATAACTAAACTTTTATATAAAAAAAATCTCATGGATTGGTAGTACAAATCATGAGCTTCTAAGACTCAGGGTTTACAAAGCGTGTATGAAATAAATACATTATCTGTTCGAAATATACATAAACAAGTTTATAAATCTAAAGCTATAACTGGAATGCAGGTGCATCTTCAATGCCAGGTCCCGCCATACACAGCAACATCATATCCAAATTTGCACGCAAGTTGCAGAAGTATAGTATAAGTACAATCGACCCATGTACTCAATAAGTAACAAACCTAACCTTAGGTTGAAAGGAGTGACGAGCTTGGAAAAACGGTTAGAGTCCAACACTGATAGCCAAGAACAACTCGTAACAATATAGTAAAAGTAGTACAAGTAATAATTCAAAGATATTATGCTCAGCTCGTTCATAGTTACGGAAAATAGGCATGTTTTTCAAGTATAACAGTAAAATCCAAATCTTTCATCGAAATCACCAAAATATGACGGTATATCAGAAAACTGTGATTTCTCCCAAACTTTCAACAATAGATAAGATATTTCATTGTCAGATAATATGAGGAAAATGCATCTCTATGTTTGCATGTCAATATGAATCTCAAGCCATCAATTATCATATACCGTCTAGCACGAGGAATGTACATTTCAATGCCTACATGTTAAATGTATATGTCAAATCATGAATGTCACAACGCCGTATAACACGAGGGAAATGTATCTCTATGCCAACATGCCAAGTATGCATGTCAAATATAATGCATCACAATGATAATTCCAGGTACTCACACTCTCAGAGTACTCAATCTGTCTGTCTCAAACTCCTACTCATCACACAAAATCACTCAGCATTGTACAGTACATGCGCTCACTATTGGTATGTCAGACTCCGGAGGAGTGGATCCTGCCCAAACACTAATGTAAAGCCAATATGACCCGTTGTGGTATGCAGCCCGATCCCATAATAATAAATAAGCCGATAAGGCCTGTTGCGGCGTGTTGCCCGATCCCATAAATAGCCAATAAGGCCTGGTGTGGCATGCAGCCTCATCCCATAAATAGCCAATAAGGCCTGATGCGGCGTGCAACCCGATCCCATAAATATCACTCACAATTCGGCTCTCAAGCCCCGACTCAGTCATCAATCTCTCAAGTCTCAAGGACGTACAATCTCGTACCACTCAACTCAAACAATGATAACATATGATGTAACAATGAATAACGAACAGAGACTGAGATATGATATATAAATGAAGAATAATGACTGAGTATATAATTACAGTTAGAACAAATAACTCAAAACAACAGATTTAGCTTCAATAGGTCTCAACCGAATAAGCACATAGCTTAAACATGATTTCTAATATGATTCATAGCTCATATAATCAAACAAGTCGGGAGAACATGGATGTAACAAGATATAGCACCAAAACAAGTCCGATCATAGTCAAATAGTCAACTAGAATTATGATTATCCTGGTGCACTCCCACACGCCCGTCACCTAGCTTGTGCGTCACCTCAATACATCGCTTATAACATAGTTTCCAGGGTTAAAAACCTTCAAATCCAAGTTTAGATATGTTACTTACCTCAAACAAGCCAAATCCAATATCGAGCAAGCCAAACAATACTCTAGAAATGCCATCTCGCGCGTATTGACCTCCAAATGGCTATAAACTAGCCAAAAGCAACTCAAAAAAATCAAATAATACCAAAGGAAACAAACTCAATCGATAAGGTTGAATCTTTAATC